CATCGCATTCCAGAACATCTGTTCCGACGGGTATTGCCAGTAGAGGTCGTCCTCCGACTTGGGCTCCGCTTTCGGTATCGACGAGACCTTACGGTCGGTCGGAAGCGGGAACGGCTGGTCGGGTGACGGCTGTTGATTGGCCACAACCGGCATATAATTGTCTTTACTTATGGGACACTCGGAGGCGACCATTGGTTTGTCCTTCTGATGCATCGGACACTCACTCACATCTGCGGTCCTCTTGTGATCGGGCGGTCTGTCCCTCACTTCCACCGAACCGAGCGGTCCGTCCACTGTCTTCGATGTCTGTGAGCCCATAGTTGTGTCCGAAAAGGGGATCCAATCGGTGATTATCTTTGACACAAAACACAAATCAAAACATAACGTAATTTAACACAAAAATTACATTTCAAACAATTTGTGTCTCAAAAACAAGCATTGATTTGCCATTTAATACACGTTTTATATGAATTACTCAATCAAATTGCATAAAAGGGCGCAAATTGTATGGCATTTGCTTTGATTGTTACGCCCTTTTTGCGCACCGACTGTACTTTACGTAACGTTATTTACGAACGGCATTACAAAATGTTTTGTTGATTTAACGTAAAAGTATTTTTGTGTCAAAAATCACATCACAAGACACCACAAGACAAGCCATGGATGCGATCGCCGGGACGTCAGTGAAGACGTCTTCGTCGTCCTCGTCGTCGACCACCAAATCATACGACGATTTGATTGAATACTTGTGTCATTTGGGGAAACCATTGGTCGACAAACTGTACACCAATTCGGCCACGAGTTTAGCCGTATTTCGCGAATTACCCGAAATGGCCAAACACTGTGTCATGAGATTACTCTTCGTTGAACAGCCCATCCCTCAGACGGTCATCACCTCTTGGGTCAAGAATACGAGGCATGTCTTGAGACACATCTCTGTGTTTGTAATGTTTGACTCAATTCTTGATTTTAGCGAACACTTGGAGGCGTCGGAAGTGTTGACCAAATTGAATGTCTGGAAGAGTCAGACACTGCAGACAGGACTTCCCGGTTGGCTCCTCAACCAGTCGTTCCGCGACAGCCTTAAGACGGCTCTATTGGGCGGGTATTTAGTACATCTCACGCCACTCTTTGCGCACATTTTGTTAATATATATGCATTGGTTTCACCCGTTTGTGTCCCCGAAGTGGCGAACAGTGGTCTGTATATAAGGAACTGCCGAAAGACAAACACTCGCCAGACATCGAGTCGTTGGACAGTTACGCGAATAAGAGGTGGG